ATAATAAGCACCTGATGACTGCCACAGACATGGATATGAGTGATGCTAGTCACCACAGAGACAGCCCCTTCCCCCTGTTCACCCACCCTTCCAAGCCTGCCAGAGAGCCTCACCCAAAATGAATCGGCAACATGTGCAAACAGATGTTTTGATCTTTGGAGCCTTTAAAATAATGACCATGAACACAGAGATTTACCAGGAGAAAATAGGGTATCTTCCCTCAAAATCTCCTTGAAGTTTTACTATAAGGCATCTCAGACAGTGCTTTCTATATAGAAAGAGCCCCCAGGTAATAGATATGCTGTAGCATTTTATCTTGTGTTTGATTTTCTTTTTTCTTTTTTTTTTTTAAGATGCAGTTTCACCATGATGGCCAGTCTGGTCTTGAACTCCTGACCTCAGGTGATCCACCCACCTTGGCCTCCTAAAGTGCTAGGATTACAGGCGTGAACCACCATGCCCAGCCTGTGTTTGATTTTTTTTAACTTAACTTATTGATGATGGTGACCCACTTGTGTGTGTTTGTTTGTTTTTGCTATGTGTACTAGTCAGGGTTCTTCAAAATCTGAAGTGACACCACTGAGATACGTCCATAGGAAATCTGTCTGTTTACTTATAAATTTATGTATCTCTTACAGGAATTAGCTCACACAATTTTGGAGTGAAGTCCCACGATCGGCCGACTGCAGGACAGAGAAGCAGGAAAGCCGGTAGTATCATTCAGTGTGAGTCTAAAGGCCTCAGAAGAAAGCTGGGGGTGGGAGGCAATGGTGTTAGTCCCTGATCAAGTCTGAAGGCCAGAGAACCAGGAATGCCAATGTCCAGGACAGGCGGAGACGGATGTCCCAGGCAGAAAGAGCAAATTCACCCCTCCTCTGTCTTTTTCTTCACTCTGGGCCCTGACAGTTTGGTGGATGCCCCCTCATTCTGAAGGAAATCTTTGCTCAGTTTTCTGATTCAAAAGCGAATCTCTTCTGGAAACCCCCTCACAAACACAATCATTTTACCAGCCATCTGAGCATCCCTTAGCCCACTCAAGCTGATGCAGAAAATTAACCATCACAGGGGTCATAGGAAACACAATTAATTACATTGTGGCCTATTGGATAAAGGGTCTGTTTGTTTTTTTTTTTTTGAGACAGTTTCACTCTTGTTACCCAGGCTGGAGTGCAATGGCGCCATCTCGGCTCACTGCAACCTCCGCCTCCTGGGTTCAGGCAATTCTCCTGCCTCAGCCTCCTGAGTAGCTGGGATTACAGGCACGTGCCACCATGCCCAGCTGATTTTTTTGTATTTTTAGTAGAGACGGGGTTTCACCATGTTGACCAGGATGGTCTCGATCTCTTGACCTCGTGATCCACCCGTCTCAGCCTCCCAAAGTGCTGGGATTACAGGCATGAGCCACCGCGCCCAGCCGGATAAAGGGTCTTGACCACCACAAGATTATTCTTTAACCTTTCTCCAGAAACTGACTGAACCACCGGTAGAGAATGGGTAAACAGAGAGTTTGATACAGGAGATTCACGAACAGATTCATAGACTGTGATCCATTGACAGAAACATGCACAACCAATAAACAAAAAAGGGGTAAAGGTAGAAAACTTGAAAGTTTGTTTGTTTTTTTTTGAAATGGAGTCTCACTCCAGCCCAAGCTGGAGTGCAGTGACCTGATCTCAACACACTGCAACCTCTGAACCCCAGGTTTAAGCAATTCAGCCTGGCTAATTTTTTATTTGTAATAGAGATGGGATTTCACCATATTGGCTAAGCTGGTCTCAAACTCCTGACCTCAAGTGATTTGCCCACATCGGCCTCCCAAAGTGCTGGGATTGCAGGTATCAGCCAGCATGCCCAGCCAGAACACTTGAAGGTATTCATATATATATATATTCATATATATATAAATATGAAAATATATATATTTTTTCATATATATATGAATATGAAAAAATATTGTTTCAGGTATATATATATGAAAAAACATAAGATGAAACTGCGATCCCCTAAGTGTTTAAAATAGTGCAGAAAGGTTCGTGTACCTTGCTGGTGGCATCATAAATTAAGCTATTCGCTCTGAAGAGCAATCAAATTATGTTATACCATTAAACAATTCTCACCCTTTACCTTGTAGTAATTGCCTTTGGGGATCTATTCAAAGTAACCAAAAACAGGGGAAGGATTAGTCTAAACATGATTACCCTGCTCTAAAATAAATAAGGTAGAAAAATCCACAGGCCCAGTAGCATAAGAATGACTAGGCAAACTATAGTTTATCCATAGACCTAATGTTAGACAGCCAGTCAACATTAGAAGTTGCCAGGCATACAGACTGCCAACATGTACAGATTTCTAAGTAAAATGTTAGGCCAGGCATGGTGGCTCACACTTGTAAATCCCAGCATTTTAAGAGGTTGAGCGGGTGAACAACAAGAAGCCCAGAGTTCGAGACCAGCCTGGTCATCATGGCAAAACTTCATCTCTACTAAAAGTACAAAAACTAGCCAGGTGTGGTGGTGTATGCCTGTAGTCCCAGTTACTCAGGAGGCTGAGGCATGAGAATTGCTTGAACCCAGGAGGCAGAGGTTGCAGTCAGCTGAGATTGTGCCACTTCGCTCCAGCCTGAGCAACAGAGCGAGACTCTGTCTCAAAAAAAAAGTAAAATGTTAAAAACTGCAGAATCTGAGTATACACGCACACCAGCCTCAGCAATCCAAAGAGGTAGGCATGAATAAAAATCTAAAGAGAATTTGAAATGACACCATTAAGATGAGCCTATAATTTGCTTAACTATTCAGTGAGCACCTACTATGCTCAGGGACTGTTCTGGGTGATACCCAAACACCTGTAACATCAATGAATAAGAAGAGGTAAAAACGAGGGCCGGGTGCGGTGGCTCAAGCCTGTAATCCCAGCATTTTGGGAGGCCGAGGCGGGTGGATCACGAGGTCAAGAGATCAAGACCATCCTGGTCAACATGGTGAAACCCCGTCTCTACTAAAAATACAAATAATTAGCCGGGCATGGTGGCGCGTGCCTGTAATCCCAGCTACTCAGGAGGCTGAGGCAGGAGAATTGCCTGAACCCAGGAGGCGGAGGTTGCGGTGAGCCGAGATCGCGCCATTGCACTCCAGCCTGGGTAACAAGAGCGAAACTCCGTCTCAAAAAAAAAAAAGAAGAAGAAGAAGAGGTAAAAACACATGTCCTTAAGATGTTGACATCCTATGAGGGAAAGTAAACAAACACAAACACACAAATAATCTAAGACATTATGTGTATACTTTTCATTGAAATGTAATATACAGACAGGTCTTAAGTGTGCTACTCTTTGGGATTTTCCGCTTGTATGCTCTTCTGGAATCACCTCCCAGATAAAGATAGAGGAAACTTGCAGCACTCCACCACGCCCCTTCAACAGGCAACCTTCCAGTTCCCACCAAGGACACCCATCAGTGGCCCTCCGATACCATGGACTCATTTCCCTCTCCTGATTTTCGTGTAAGTGGAATGAGACCATGTGTCCTTTCTCCTGTCTGGATCCTTTTACTCAACATGTCTGTGAGGTCCATTCATGTTTCTAATGTGGCATTAGCACATTTATTTTCATTACAGCAGAGTAAGTATCCTATTATACAAATGATGGAATTATGTTGATAAACCGCAGTTCATTCGTTCATTCTTGTATTCATGGAATTTGGATTGTTTTCAGTTATTGGCTATTTAAAATAAGCTGCTTTTGACATCATTGTATCTGACTCTAGGACTCATTCCTGTAGGTTGGGATTTCTGGGTCCTGGGTAGATGCATGTTTAGCTCTAGCTGACACTGCCAGTATTCCAAAGTGGCTTTCCCACCAGCAATGCATGACAGTTCCAGTTACTCCATAAATCACCAACAATTGTCAGTAGTTTCCATGTCAGCCATTCTGGTGGGGATACAATAGGATCTAAAGAGTAGGGGTTTAACTTTCTGCTGTCTAATGATGTTGAGCACCTTCTTGTGCTTATTGGCCATTTGGATATTCATTTTGGGGAAATGCCTGCTGAAGTTTTGACTAATTCTAATGAGTTGTATTTCTGGATATATAGTTTTTGGAGAAGAGACCTTTGTTGATTCGTAATAAGTTCCCCCTACTGAGCCTTGCATGAATGCCTAACCCACAGACTCAACAACTATTTCTGGTATCACAGCTTAGGAACTGCTGAGCTATGAGAATCTTCCTCTGAAGCAGCTCACTCTCCAGTGAGATTTTAAATTACTTCAAGAAGATGCAATGCAGATGAAGAGACGAGATTGCTGTCAGGGTGGAGGAAGCCTATGCTTAAAATGTTCCTGAAAGGATGGGAATCAGGAAGAGATCAACCTGCAGATCCCCATGCAGGCTTTGGAATCATAGACCTCAGAATGACAAAAAGAAAAAGCTTAATTCTAGAAAAGAGTGAGTAAATCTATTGGAGGTCTGAAGGGTTTCATCATAGAATTCTATCCCCAGCTGATATGGTTTGACTGTTTCCCACCCAAATCTTACTTGAATTGTAATAATCCTCACATGTCAAGGGTGGAGCCACGTGGAGATAACTGAATTGTGAGAGCAGTTTCCTCCATACCAGGCATCCCCAAACTACGGTCCGTGGGCCACATGCGGCCCCCTGAGGCCATTTATCCGGCCCCCCGCCGCACTTCAGGAAGGGGCACCTCTTTCATTGGTGGTCAGTGAGAGGAGCACAGTATGTGGTGGCCCTCCAACGGTCTGAGGGACAGTGAACTGGCCCCCTGCGTAAAAAGTTTGGGGACGCCTGCTCCATACTGTTCACATGGTAGTGAATAAGTCTCACGAGATTTGATGGTTTCGTAAGTGGGAGTTCCCCTGCACAGGCCCTCCTGCCTGCTGCCATGTAAGAAGTGACTTTTCTCCTCATTCACCTTCTGGCCTGGTTATGAGGCTTCCCCAACCATGTGGAACTGTGAGTCTATTAAACCTCTTTCATTTATAAATTACCTGGTCTCCGATATGTCTTTATTAGCAGCATGAGAACAGACTAAAACACCAGCCAAAGTATTAAGTAAGCATGTAAAGACACTTTCAGTTATGCAAGGACTGAAGACATTTCTCTCGAAGGTACCCAGGAAAGTGAGGAAGTAAACCCAGAGAGAACGTCCTGATGACAGCTGTGCAGCAAGCCTGGAGAGGGTACCTGGAAGCCATCTGAGAAAACAATAGAGACTGGGTCCTGGAGACCGAGCAGAAGTGATGCAGTCATAGAGTGGAGAAGGCAAAAGGGACCCTGGCTCTTTCTGATGGGGATTACACCCCCTTAAGATCCCTATTCAGTGAAACACAAGCTCTGCATACTTACAGAAAGCACTCAATAAGGCTGGATGAATGAATGTTACGTTCAGGCCCAGAAATAGACACCCTTGCCATAGTGCCTCACTGAGTCTGTCAGAAATGAGAGCAAGAATTGTCAAGTGCCTTACTACGCCCAGCAGAATCCTTTCCAACCCAGCAGCTGTCAGGGTTACCACCCAGTCCCTTGGAAGAAGCAGTGACAGACACTCTGGGTAGGTAGCCGGGAGCAATTAAGAGAAGACACACAGGAAATGTGGTTGAGGCTTTTCTTGGATCCGGTAGGCCTAAGGCCGGGGTCACATAGGCCCACCGCCTGGCCTTCCAGGCACTACTAGTGGCCCCAGACAGCCATCTTCGTGAACACAGGTCTTGGGAGGAAGCGGCTGGACTTCATGTAGGCAGAGATCTTCTCCAAGCCCTGACAGGGGGAAAAATAAGGCCAGAGCTCAAGGTCAGCTGCCCATGAGGGCTGGGGCAACCCCACTGCAGGCGCAGCAGGCCAGGGCCCTGGCCACAGCCTTTCCACGTGGGCTCAAGTGCTGGAGCATCACACAGGCTCTTAGGGTCCCCACATCTGCTAAGTTAACTCTTCCCACTTCCTTTAAGTAATGTTACACCATGAAAACAACTACCACTTATGAAGATTCTACACTGTACTGGGTGCCCTATACCCAAAAGAAATTATAACATAAGCTTAGAAAATCCACTCAACTACTCGGCAAGGTCGAATCTATTATCACCATTTCTCCTGTGAGAAACCGAAATTCGGCAGCTTCCCCGCACTCGAATAGCTAGTAAGGGGACTGGGCTGCAGTGTAGCCTGGTTCTGTCTCTCTCCAGCTCTGGCCCCTTTCTGCCAAATTCTCGTCTTCCTCTGTCGCACTAACCCCCAACACCAGGTCCTGTCACTCCTTAACTGCACAAACAGTCTCCTTTTCCACAGGGAGCTCCTGGCTTGCCTTGACGTAGACTCACAGAAGGGACCTCCAGCAGAACAAAGGAGCTCAGGAGACACCCAAGGTCTCAGTAAAACCTGGATAAAAGTGGAATGGGGGGCAATGGTGCACCAAAAAATGAAAGGCCAGACCAGGTTCTAATCATTCCCCTTAAAGCAGGAAGTCCAAAGTTTTCCATCTAGTTCCTGAGCAAGATCTCACTGTGCCCTAAGCCATCGCATCTCCAGCCCTGCTACTGCAGGCCAGGCTGCATGACACTCAGGTGTGCTGTACACAATCTTAACAGGATTCAATGCCCAGATAATTTCTAAGATATTCAAAAAGATCCGACCAGGCATGGTGGCTCATGCCTGTAATCCCAGCATTTTGGGAGGCCGAGGTGGGTCGAACTTCTGAGGTCAGAAGTTCGAGGTCAGCCTGGCAACATGGTGAAACCCTGTCTCTACTAAAATTAGCAGGGCATGCTGGCAGGAGCCTGAAATCCCAGCTACTTGAGGCTGAGGCAGAGAATTGCTAGAACCCAGGAGGCAGATATTGAAGTGCGCCAAGATCACACCACTGCACTCCAGCTGGGGCAACAGAGCGAGACTGTGACTCAAAAAAAAAAAAAAAAAAAAAAAAAAATCCAGGACTGCCTGTTCTGAAAGTGCTCGGTCCTGGCACGTTGCAGGCCATAGCCCTCAGCGCTCCTCCACCCCTTCCCTCCTACCACTTCTTACATAACCTCAAGGCCACTGAGCCTGGACCAGAACCAGAGCTAATGGGAAACTAGCTGAGCAAGCAGATCTCTTGATGGGGAGTAGGAAAAGAAAACAGATTCTAGCCTCAGAAACCTGTTGCATTAATGCCTCAAATTCCCAAATCTGTACTAAAGTAGGATTTGCTGCTCTTAAACAAGTTTGACAAGGGTGAGGGATGGTTCCCCGTGAGTGAGGGGCAGGCCTCGGGCCAGGTACCCAGGGGTGCCACACACACCTCACAGGCTGCTCTGCCTGCAGGCCTCTCACTGCTCTCACTTCCAGGATGGGGAAGTCAATCTATGCCTCCCCCACTGTGCCTCTCACCCTGCCTCATGCAGAGGAGAAGGTCGGTGAATAGGAGTTAAAATCAGTGTGCTCCCCATCTCACAGGGGGACACTTGGAACACTGAAGAGAAAAAAGAAAGGAAGAGGCCGGGAGCAGTGGCTCACACCTGTAATCCCAGCACTTAGGGAGGCCGAGGTAGGCAGATCAGGAGTTTGGGACCAGCCTGGCCAACATGGCGAAACCCCGTCTCTACTAAAATATAAAAATCAGCCAGATGCGGTGGTGCACACCTGTAATTCCAGCCTCTCAGGAGGCTAAGGCAGCAGAATCGCTTGAATCCAGGAGGCGGAGGTTTCAGTGAGCCGCAATTGCACCATCGTACTCCAGCCTGGGCAACAGAGCAAGACTCTGTCTCCAAAAAAAAAAAAAAAAAGAGAGAGAGAGAGGAAGAGAGGTAGAGGAGAGTGCCCCAGCACAGAGCACTTCAACAGGGGCACCCACATATGTACCTCATCCAGCTACAGCCACAGCCCTGGCTCTCAGGATTCTCCACATGGGGGTCAATTCGTGCAAAGCTTCTGGGGGTAGCTATGAATGCTGCCTGTGGGTTTAGTACTCAACATCGATGCTACCGTGTGCCAGTCCTACTATTGCCAGCTGCATCCACGCTCCTGAAGAGCTCTGCCCCTTCCAGAGTGTCCTGGGCTGTGAAACCCAGGCTGGATGAGGCCTGAAGCTTCTTCTTTTGTTGCAAAAGGGAGAGCCCTGACTGCCGCCCAGGGATCCAGAGGCTCACAGGGAGCCCAGCACAGCCTCCTGGCTCTCAGATCCTGAGCAGAGGACTGACCCTCTCACTCTCAGTTTCTTTATCTCTAAAACGGGCAAGATAATTCTGTCACCCTGTAGGAATGTTGTAAAGTTCAACTTCGACACCATAGGTATAATGTGCTGGTCACGGTTCGCGGCATGAAGCCAGCACTCAACAAATGCGAGTTATTCTTTTGTTCTTCTTCGTCTTTTTTTTTCTTGAGAGGGCGTCTCACTCCGTCGCTCAGTCTGGAGTGAAGTGGCACAATCTTGGCTCACTGCAACCTCCACCTCCTGGCTTCAAGTGATTCTTCTGCCTCAGCCTCCCAAGTAGCTGGGATTACAGGTGTGCGCCACCATGCCCAGCTAATTTTTCTTTTTTTTTTTTTTTTAGTAAAGATGAGGTTTTTGCCATGTTGGGCAGGCCAGTCTCAAAATCCTGACCACAGGTGATCTACCCACCGCCTCCAAAGTGCTGCGATTACACGTATGAGCCACCAGCCCGGGCAAAAATGCAAGTTACTCTTTGTATAGCTCCAGGACTGGGAAAGCATCACAAAGGAGGGAAAGAAATGAGGAGCATTAAAGAGAAAGGAGGATAGGGGCATCACCTCAAATCGGGAGATGAAGTCCTTCAGGTTTGGGAAGGCGTCCAAGCAGGTGGGCTCAAATACTTGGTTTCTCTCAAGGACATCATAAGCGATGAAATCCACAAAGGTGATCTGGATAAGGTCAAGGATATGTGGGCTGAAACCTCCATAATATAGAAAGTATGACAAACCTGTAGTGTCCCCATCACACGCCCCAGTTACCTTGTCCCCAAGAAACCATGGCCGCTTCCCCAGAAACTGTGAGTAGAGCTTCAGCATTTCAGGAAGTCCCTCCAGGTATTCTGGCTTTAGTCTCTCCTGAGGCAGAAAACAGCTGTCACCACCCTCAGACACAAGCTCCCTGCACAGACGCAGCCTCACCAGGGCTGTGCATTGCCCCAGGCAGCCACAGGCAAGCAGCCATCTTCCCCACAACTGGAACTGGGTCAGTGCCAGGCTTCAGTTGAATACATCAGTATTTATTAGACTCTAATGGGGTAGCTCGAGTCTTTCTGAGGTGATGGGAAGGCAGAAAGAAATGTGACACTGTCCCTGAATCTGTCCCTACTGACCTCCCAACAACCTCTGATTCAGCCCCAAAAGCATCCCAGCACCTGGCAGTCTCTGACCCAGACATGAGCAGAATCTAGGATGCAAAGAACTTTAGGAGCTCAGGGAAAGAAGTAGAAAGTTCCTCCTAGTGGAGGGGCAGAAGAATACAATGGACATTGAGTGGTTTCTGGAAAGATGAGGAGATATTCAGAGGCTGAGTGAAATAAAGGAGGGGAAAAAAAGAGCCTCTGGCTGTGCCCCTAAACTGCCTGTTGGGAAAATGCGCTGATCTCAATGTGTGTCAAGAGAGTACTCAGAAGACACCGAAGTCTGCAGGTGCCATTACATTTTCCTTTCTTTTGCGCTTGTTTTCCCCCTAGTTGGACTTTGTGTATGCCAAAGCAGGCGGACGATATAAACCACTTGGGAGAGATGGCCCAAAGCACAAGTCATAAGTCAGAGATGGAGGGGATTCGAGAAGTAACCATTACTGTCTAGAGAGTGAATTCATACCCTGGGGAGTCTGGGTTCTATAAGTACATTGGTGGGGAATTGATTTAGAGGTTTTATTTGAGTCAACTTTGGGGTTTGAGAGTCACTCTGGTGGCAGTATAGGAAATAGCTTGGAGGATGAGTAGCAGGAAGGAGTTCAAATGGAAAACAGGAACAGTGTAGATGGCAGTACCAGAGTCTTGGCTCCTGATCAAAACTGTGAAGGGAAAGGGGCGACAGGGTAGGGGGCTCACAAAATCTGGATCGTAGCACAGTCTGGCCAGCTGCATGCGGTTGTCCATAAGCTGGTTCTCCAAAATGTCTTCCCAAATCTTCTCCTTTTCTGTCTCCCCACCTGCCACTCACAAAACACAGACTCGCTGTCAGCATCTCACCCCAGACAAGCCCAGGAGGAGGCCACCGTCCCCCCACACCCTGCAGCCTCCCGCACTCACACAGGTTGTGCTTGCGGGCAATGTAGCGCAGGATGGCGTTGCTCTGGGTGATCCTGTGAGCCCCATCAATCAAGTAGGGCAGCTGGAGGGATGGGAAACCAGGGAAGCTCAGTTGGGCCAGCAGCCTCCCCAGCATCGCCTTCCCATAAGCAAGGGCAGACAGGAGACCGGGCACTCACTGTGCCTGCTCATGGCAGGCCGAGATACTGTCACATGGACGAATGAGCTGGGACACAGAACGTCATGCAAGGCTGTGCAGACAGCCAGGAATGAGAGGAACTGGGCAGAAGGCTCCTGACCCTAACACCTCTAAGCTGGGGAGAGGAGACGCAGTCAGAGACACGCTGCACTTTCCCCCAAAACCGCCCCTTCCCCTGCACCTACATTGGGAAAGTCCAGGCCCAGCTTGAACTTTTCCTTCAGCCACTGGCTTCTGTCATAGTCAGGAGCTGCGGCGGGAAGATGAAGTGAAAACAAACCTCCCCGGAGCCCAGCCCACCTTCCCCGCGGCCCTCCCAAGGGGCCAGTGGCAAGACCCCTGAGACAGGTGGATCTAGAATCTGACCACTCAGTCCCACGTCCCAGGGTTCAGGAAGAAAGAATCCGGGTGAGGGCTCTGGACCCCACACGACTAAGGCTTCCAGGCTGTAGGCAAGCCCTGAGGGACCCCCAACCCAGTTACCCAGACAGGGGGCCCGGCTTCCCGCCCCAGCATCCCACCCTAGCATCCAGCCCTGCAAAGTCAGAGGGCTCCCTCACCCGGGCTCAGGGAAGGGGCAGGCTGCAGCTCCAGCAGGGGAGGCCTGCAGGGGCAGCCACAGGTGGCCACCGTGGGTTGCTCGGCGCCAACTCAGGGTGAGTGGGCAGGGCCGGGACAAGAGGGCGCCCTTACCGTCCCCCATCGTGTATTTCTTTTCCTCGTAGCTTGAGTCTGTGTATTCCAGGAGCAGGCGGATGGCGTGGGCCAGCTGGGAGAGATGGCCCGCCGCTCGGGTCAGAGATGGAGTGTCCCTGACTTGGTGACTTTCTCTGCACCAGGGGAGCCCCCAGGCTACACTGCAGGCACCCGTCGCCTCCTCTCCTTCGCGCCTCACACCTTCCCCACGCCCCTGCCCCTGTCCCTTCCCCCTCCCCCACCCTACACACAACGCCAGCACAGGCCTTCCCGTGAGGGACAGCCCTGAAGAGGAACGGTCCCTAGAGCCGGTCCCGCAGCTCTCCGCACCTCCCTCCCCCGCGTCTCGCCTCCGTCCCGCGGCCCAGCGGGCCCTCCTCCCTCACCCCGCGGATGTCCCAGTATCCCAGTATCATAGGCATGGTGCTGGTTGCTGTGGAGTCTGCCAGCGGGCCTCAGCCGGGCGGGGCTCAGACTCTATAATTAGAGGCCAAGAGAGGGAGAGGAGGGGCCTTACAGCGACCCGGTCACTCGGCCCGCCGCGCCCCCGAAACGCACAGTTCTGGAGGCCCGAAGAGGGCGCCCGGGGCTGGAAGGAGAAGGATCCCCTCCCACCTCCAGCCACGTGGGTTCCAGGAGCAAGGGCGGGGGAGAACTGTTTGAGCCTTTGGGCCCAGGGGTTCAGGTCGACCTGACCTATGGGCGCGCCACTGCATTCTAGCTTAGGCAACAAAGACTCTCTCTAAAAAAAGAGTGAGATTCTCAATAAAGTCGTAACAGCCTAATCAAGAAAAATAACGCAAAAGAACATTTGGTGCTCCGGGACTCACTGGGTAGGTTTTCAAAACTTTTCAGAAGGCATGTATGACCTAGATTGTCATGAACTGCAGACATACGTGGCGTAACAGACCTAACATGGGAAAGACAACACGCGCAAGGATGATTACAACTCACTGTCACTTCCAGCCTAAATCCAAACGTCAGGAATGCCACCAGGGACCGGGCGCCGTGGCTCACGCCTGTAATCCCAGCACTTTGGGAGGCCGAGGCGGGTGGATCACGAGGTCGAGAGATCGAGACCATCCTGGTCAACATGGTGAAACCCCGTCTCTACTAAAAATACAAAAAAATTAGCTGGGCATGGTGGCGCGTGCCTGTAGTCCCAGCTACTCAGGAGGCTGAGGCAGGAGAATTGCCTGAACCCAGGAGGCGGAGGTTGCGGTGAGCCGAGATTGCACCACTGCACTCCAGCCTGGGTAACAAGAGCGACACTCGGTCTCAAAAAAAAAAAAAAAAAAAAAAAAATGCTGTTTTTCTCATAAGTGGTGCTGCACTCCCAGGGAGCTTGCTGGGTGGGGAGATAGACAGAAAGGTGGGGAGCAGGAGCTGGGAGGCTCACAGGGAGGGAGGAGAAAGCCGATGTGGAAACGTTAGAATCTGGGGTAATCAGAGGTCTTTGGATTCATTCCTTTTGCAAATTTCTCAAACCCTGATATTAAATCAAAATAAAAAGTTTTTTAAAAAAGACCTACCAAGGCAGACATATGCAAATATTATTAACTGAAATAAATGATCCATCAAAAAGGACTTACCTTAACTTTAAGAGTTAACTATGATTTCTATCATTATTATTATTTTAATGCTAGTCTCCATCCAGTACACCACTGGTCTTCAAGTGGAATTAACTTTGCCCCTCAGGGGACACGTAGCTCTGTCTGGAGCCTTTGTTAATTGTGACCACTGGGGAGCACCCATGGCATCTGGTGGGTAGAGGCTGGGTAGGATGCTAAGCACCCTGCAATGCTCAGGACAGTACCCCACAACAAAGAATTCTGCCTCCCAAAATGACCGTACTGCTGAGGTTAAGAAACCCTAGCCTACAATCCGGCTGACATGGTGAAGTCCCGACTCTTCCAAAAATATGAAACATTCGCCGCCAGGAGTGGTGGCATGCGCCTGTAATCCTAGCTACTTGAGAGGCTGAGGCAGGAGTTGCAGTGAGCTGAGATTGCACCACTGCACTCCAGCCTGGGCAACAGAGTGAGACTCTGTCTCAAAGAAAAAAAACAAAGAGAAGAAAAAGAAACCCAGGAATGAGTCAAAAGCCGCAGTGGGAGAAACAGGCCCTGGAAATTCTGACTGGCAGGAAGGAGACTAGAGGACCCATTTCCCTGGACACCAGCTGGCAGAAGGGAGGACCTAGAGACTCTCTCAGCTAGGGCAGTCCCTGCTGGCATCGAGGTGCACAACAGGAATGGGAAAAGAAGTGGGTGAGGAAAAGGTCTACCAGGTGGACAGGCTGGGCAGCCTGCTCTTCCAGAACACAGGGTAGGGAATGGTGGGACTCTCTCTGCCAGTCAGACAGCAGGCCTCCCCTGCAGCTCTGAGCACATTGTTCCAGAGCCAGGCAGCCTAGCCCAGCACCATGAGGGTAATTCCTCTAGAGCTGCAGGGGGCAAAGCTAAGCAGGATGAACTGGACTTATTTTTGAAAGGTATCCACCTAGCCTGGAAAACATGGTGAAAGCCTGTCTACCAAATACATGAAAATTAGCTGGCCATGGTGGCCCCTGCCTGTGGCCCCAGCTATTTGAGAGGTTAAGGTGGGAGGATCATTGGAGCCTGAGAAGTCGAGGGACAATGAGCCGTGATCACACCACTGCACTCCAGCCTGTGTCACAGAGTGAGACCTTGTCTCAAAAAACTAATAAAAGTAAAATTCTAAAAAGAAGGTATCTACCATGACTAACTATCGTGTGTAGATAGGTCCCAGAAGTCCGGCCAATTTGCAATAACTTGACTCTTTCTGCATTTAACACCCCCATATGGGTGGCCAAATGACGAATATATAATAAGCACCTGATGACTGCCACAGACATGGATATGAGTGATGCTAGTCACCACAGAGACAGCCCCTTCCCCCTGTTCACCCACCCTTCCAAGCCTGCCAGAGAGCCTCACCCAAAATGAATCGGCAACACTTGCAAACAGATGTTTTGATCTTTGGAGCCTTTAAAATAATGACCATGAACACAGAGATTTACCAGGAGAAAATAGGATATCTTCCCTCAAAATCTCCTTGGAGTTTTACTATAAGGCATCTCAGACAGTGCTTTCCATATACAAAGAGCCCCCAGGTAATAGATATGCTGTAGCATTTTATCTTGTGTTTGGTTATTTAAAAGTACTCATTGATGACAGGGAACCCATTTGTGTGTGTGTGTGTGTGTGTGTGTGTGTGTGTGTGTGTGTGTTTTGCTATGTGTACTAGTCAGGGTTCTTCAAAATTTGAAGTGACACCACTGAGATACGCCCATAGGAAATCTGTCTATTTATAAATTTATGTATCTCTTTTTTTTTTTTTCTTTTTTCTTTTTTTTTTTTTTTTTTTAAGATGGGGTTTCACCATGATGGCCAGGCTGGTCTTGAACTCCTGACTGCAGGTGATCCACCCACCTTGGCCTCCCAAAGTGCTAGGATTACAGGCATGAGCCACCGCGCCGGGCCAAATTTATGTATCTCTTACGGGAATTAGCTCCCACAATTTTGGAGTGAAGTCCCACGATCGGCCGACTGCAGGACAGAGAAGCAGGAAAGCCGGTAGTATCATTCAGTGTGAGTCTAAAGGCCTCAGAAGAAAGCTGGGGGTGGGAGGCGATGGTGTTAGTCCCTGATCAAGTCTGAAGGCCAGAGAACCAGGAATGCCAATGTCCAGGACAGGCGGAGACAGATGTCCCAGGCAGAAAGAGCAAATTCACCCCTCCTCTGTCTTTTTCTTCACTCTGGGCCCTGACAGTTTGATGGATGCCCCTTCATTCTGAGGGAAATCTTTGCTCCATTTTCTGATTCAAAAGTGAATCTCTTCTGGAAACCCCCTCACAAACACAATCATTTTACCAACCATCTGAGCATCCCTTAGCCCACTCAAGCTGATGCAGAAAATTAACCGTCACAGTAGACCGTAGGAAACCTAGAACAGAATCACAATTAACTACATTGTGCTATTGGAGACAAGGTCTTGACTGCCACAAGATCATTCTTTAACCCTTCTCCAGAAACTGACTGAGCCAGGTAGAGAATGGTTAACAGAGAGTTTGATACAGGAGATTCACAAACAGATTCATAGACTGTGATTCATTGACAGAAACATGCACAACCAATAAACAAAAAAGGTGAAGGTAGAAAATTTGAAGGCATTTTTATAAACCTATCAAAATATCATAAGAAGAAACTGCAATCCCTCAAGTACCTGAGGTAGTGCACAAAGATCCATGTTCCTTGCAGGGAGCACCATGAATAAGTTATTCTCTCTGGGCCAGCGAGGTGGCTCACACCTGTAATCCTAGAACTCTGGGAGGCCAAGGTGGGTGGGTCACAAGGTCAGGAGTTCAAGACCAGCCTGGCCAATGCAGTGAAACCCTGTCTCTACTAAAAATAAGAAAATTAGCCGGGCATGGTGGCAGGCACCTATCATCCCAGCTACTTGGGAGGCTGAGGCAGGAGAATCACTAGAACCCAGGAGGAAGAGGCTACAGTGAGCTGAGATCACACCATGGTACTCCAGCCTGGGTGATACAGCAAGATTCCATGTCAAAAAAAAAAAGTTATTTTTCTCTGGAGAGAGCAGTCAGTTCATCTATGATAATGCCATAACACCATTCTCACCCTTTGCCTTGTAGTAATTGCCTTTGGGGATCAACTCAGGGTAACAAAGTAACCAAAAACCAGGGAAGGAATTTGTTTAAACATGATCACCCTGTTCTAAAAATAAATAAAAAATCCACATGCCCAATAGGGTAATAATGACTAGGTAAACTATAAGTTACCCACAGGAAGTCATGTTAGATAGCCATTAAATGTTAGAAAAAGGCATGCATATAGACTCCCAACATGTACAGATTCTTAAGTAAAATGTTTAAGAGAAAAAATATGCAGAATCTAAAATTATATGTGCACATCAATCTCACCTACCCAAAGAAGTAGGCATGAGTACAAATCTAAAGAGAATTTGAAGTGACACACTAAAATGAGCCTATAATTTGCTTAAACTATTCAGTAAGCACCTACTATGCTCAGGGACTGTTCTGGATGATATCCAAACACCTGTAACATCAGTGAATAAGAAGAGGTAAAAACACATGCCCTCAAGATGTTGACACCTTATGAGGGAAAGTAAACAAACACAAACACACAAATAATCTAAGACATATGTGTATACTTTTCATTGAAGTGTAATATACAGACAGGTCTTAAGTATGCTACTCTTTGGGATTTTCCGCTTGTATGCTCTTCTGGAATCACCTCCCAGATAAAGATAGAGGAAACTTGCAGCACTCCACCACGCCCCTTCAACAGGCAACCTTCCAGTTCCCACCAAGGACACCCATCAGTGGCCCTCCGATACCATGGACTCATTTCCCTCTCCTGATTTTCGTGTAAGTGGAATGAGACCATGTGTCCTTTCTCCTGTCTGGATCCTTTTATTCAACGTGTCTGTGAGGTCCATTCATGTTTCTAATGTGGCATTAGCACATTTATTTTCATTACAGCAGAGTAAGTATCCTATTATACAAATGATGGAATTATGTTGATAAACCGCAGTTCATTCGTTCATTTTTGTATTCATGGAATTTGGATTGTTTTCAGTTATTGGCTATTTAAAATAAGCTGCTTTTGACATCATTGTATCTGACTCTTGGAATCCATTAGGACTCATTCCTGTAGGTTGGGATTTCTGGGTCCTGGGTAGATGCATGTTTAGCTCTAGCTGACACTGCCAGTATTCCAAAGTGGCTTTCCCACCAGCAATGCATGACAGTTCCAGTTACTCCATAAATCACCAACAATTGTCAGTAGTTTCCATGTCAGTCATTCTGGTGGGGATACAATAGGATCTAAAGAGTAGGGGTTTAACTTTTTGCTGTCTAATGATGTTGAGCACCTTCTCATGTGCGTATTGGCCATTTGGATATTCACTTTTGGGAAATGCTTGTTGAAATTTTGGCTCATTTTTTAATGAGTTGTATTTCTGGATAGTTTTTGGAGAAGAGATCTTTGTTGATTTGTAATAAGTTCTCCCTACTGAGCCTTACCTGAATACCTGACCCAAAAAATCAACAACTATTTGTGGTAACACAGCTTGGGAACTGCTGAGCTGGGAGAAACTTCCGGTGAAGCAGCTCACAGTAGAGCTTGGGTCCTAGAGAGCTAGCAGTTGTAAGGGGGTCAGACAGTATGGAAGACAGAAGGATCCTGGTTCTCTGTGATGGGAATTCCACTACCTCTGGGCATCTAAGACCTCCTCACTGAGATCCAGCTCTGCCTAACCATGGAAAGCAGTGAGTAATACTGAATAAATGAAGATCTAGACCCAGAAAGAGGCATCCTTTCTACAGAGCACTTTATGAGGCTTCCTGCTCTAAGGCTATCAGAAAAGAGATCAAGAAGATGGAAACAGGGTCAGCTGTGGTGGCTTACACCTGCAATCCGAGCATTTTGGGATGCCTAGGTAAGAGGATCGCTTGAGCTCAGGAGTTCCAGAGCAGCCTGGGCCACATAGTGAGACACTGCCTCTACAAAACAAATTTTAATGTGGCCAGGTGTGGTGGCACACCTGTAGTCTCAGCTATTTGGGAGGCTGAAGTGGGAAGGCTGCTTGAGGCCAGGACTGGATACTGCAATAAGCTATGATCCGACCAGTGCCCTTCTCCTTGGGAAGCAGGAGACTCTGTTACAAAAAAAAAAAAAAAAAAATTGGAAACACCTTACTGAGCCCACCATAATCTCTATGAATCCAGCCACTGCCAGGGTCACCAGTCAGTCCTTCAGGAGGAGTGACCGACAGGCAGTCTTGGCAGACGGGAACAAATAAGACAAGACCACAGCAAATGTGGTTGAGGCTTTACTTGGATCAGGTAGGCCTAAGGCAGGGGCCATGGTGCAGGAGCAGGACCTATAAACGAGTCAATGCTGCTCTTACATGCAGCGCTGGGACAGATCAGGGCTGAGCTCCACAGCCAGGCAGGCCCCTCAAAGCAGACACAATGACTAACAGGAAGGAAGGTCAGGCTGGCTTTATTGCACGGACAGATAAGTTGGGAGGGGGGTGTTCCTGAAGGAAAGTGGGTAGCTGAGGCTTTAAAGGGCCTTCATGGGACAGGGGTTCAGGGGAAGTGAAGAGGGCCAATAGAGTCTTGAGGGTAAAGAAGGGAATCAACAGGAGAAAGGATGAGGCAGATGCTGAGGTGCAGAGCCCACGTGCTCTACACAGCCTGGGCAGTAGGCTGCATATGAGCTCCCCACTCCACCGCCTGGCCTTCCAGGCACTACTAGTTGCCCCAGACAGCCACCCTTGTGTACACAGGTCTTGGGAGGAAGCGGCTGGACTTCATGTAGGCAGAGATCTTCTCCAAGCCCTGAGAGGAGGAAAAATAAGGCCAGAGCTCAAGGTCAGCTGCCCATGAGGGCTGGGGCAACCCCACTGCAGGCGCAGCAGGCCAGGGCCCTGGCCACAGCCTTTCCACGTGGGCTCAAGTGCTGGAGCATCACACAGGCTCTTAGGGTCCCCACATCTGCTAAGTTAACTCTTCCCACTTCCTTTAAGTAATGTTATACCATGAAAACAACTACCACTTATGAAGATTCTGCGCTGTGCTGGCTGCTCTATACCCAAGACGAATTACAACACAGGCTTAGAAAATCCACTCAATTACTCAGCAAGGTCGAATCTATTATCACCATTTCTCCTGTGAGAAACAGAAGTTCAGCAACTTCCCCGCACTCAAATAGCTAGTAAGGGGACAGGGCTGCAGTGTAGCCTGGTTCTGTCTCTCTCCAGTTCTGGCCTCCTTCTGCCAAATTCCCATCCACCCCCAAATTCCTCAGGAGGTCCTATTGCTCTCTGTCTGCACAACATTCTCCTGTTTCACAGGGAGGTTCCTGGCTTGCCTAGGTTTGCACACACAGAGGGAACCTCCAGCAAGACCGCCAGAAAATGTGTGTGCAGCGTGGAAGAGAGCCCAGATCTCACCCAATGAGCCAGCAAAGGCGGGATGAAAGTGGAGAAGGTATCCTGGACTAGCAAAAGAAAGGCCAGAGCAGGCTCTAATCATTCCTTTTTTTTTTTTTTTTTTTTTTTTTGAGATGGAGTTTCGCTCTTGTTACCCAGGTTGGAGTGCAATGGCGCGATCTTGGCTCACTGCAACCTACGCCTCCTGGGTTCAGGCAATTCTCCTGCCTCAGCCTCCTGAGTAGCTGGGATTACAGACACGCGCCACCAAGCCCAGCTGATTTTTTATATTTTTAGTAGAGAAGAGATTTCACCATGTTGACCAGGATGGTCTCGATCTCTTGACCTCGTGATCCACCCGCCTCAGCCTCCCAAAGTGTTGGGATTACAGGCGTGAGCCACCGAGCCCGGCCCTCTAATAATTCCTTTTAAAACAGAAAGTCCAAACCTCCCCACCTGATACCTGAGCTAAATACCACTGTGCCCCAACCCACCTCATCTTCAACCCCACTACCACGGGCCAGGCTGCAAGACACTCAGGTGTATTCTGCACGATCTTCGCAAGACTGAATGACCATGTAATTTCTAAGGATTCTAAGAGATCCAGGGCTGCCTGCTCCCAAAAGGCCAAGTGAACCTGGGTGAACCGTATGCTGCAGCCCTTGGCTCTCCTCCCCTCCCACCACCTCTTATGTAACCCCAGAGCCACTCAGCCTGGACCAGAGCCAGAGCTGATGGGAACTAGCTGAGTAACTGGATCTCCTGATGGCGAGTAGGAAAAGAAAACAGATTCTAGGCTGAAAAACCTGTTAGACTAATGCCTCAAATTCCCAAATCTGTACTAAAGTAGGATTTGCTGATCTCAAACAGATCAGCACGGGTGAGAGACGGTTCCCCGTGAGTGAGGGGCAGCAGGTCCCCTGTACTCAGGTGGTGCCACACACACCTCACAGGCTGCTCTGCCTGCAGGCCTCTCACTGCTCTCACTTCCAGGATGGGGAAGTCATCTATGCCTCTCCCACTGTGCCTCTCACCCTGCCTCATGCAGAGGAGAAGGTCAGTGAATAGGAGTTAAAATCAGTGTGCTCCCCATCTCACAGGGGGACACTTGGAACACTGGAGGGAAAAAGGAGAGGAAAAGAGGTAGGGAAGGAGAGCGCCCCAGCACAGAGCACTTCAACATAAATTCCTTCAACAGGGGCACCCACATATGTACCTCACCCAGCTACAGCCACAGCCCTGGCTCTCAGGATTCCCCACATGGGGGTCAATTCGTGCAAAGCTTCTGGGGGTAGCTATGAATGCTGTCTGTGGGTTTAGTACTCAACATCGATGCTACCGTGTGTCAGTCCTACTATTGCCAGCTGCATCCAAGCTCCTGAAGAGCTCTGCCCCTTCCAGAGTGTCCTGGGCTGTGAAACCCAGGCTGGATGAGGCCTGAGGCTTTTTCTTTTCTCACAGAAGGAAGAGCCCTGACTGCCACCCATAGATCCAGAGGCTCACAGGGAGCCCAGAACAGCCTCCTGGCTCTCGGATCCTGAGCAAAGGACTGACCCTCTCACTCTCAGTTTCTTTATCTCTAAAATGGGTGAGATAATTCTGTCACCCTGTAGGAATGTTGTAAAGTTCAACTTCGACACCATAGGTATAATGTGCTGGTCACAGTTAGCGGCATGAAGCCAGCACTCAACAAATGCGAGTTATTCTCTGTGTAGCTCCAGGAATGGGAAAGCATCTCCAACAAGGGGCACCAAAGAGAAAGGAGGACAGGGGCATCACCTCAAATCGGGACATGAAGTCCTTCAGGTTTGGAAAGGCGTTCAAGCAGGTGGGCTCAAATATACGATGGAGGTCAAGGACGTCGTAGGCAAGGAAATCCACAAAGGTGATCTGCAGAAGGCCAAAAATGTGTGGGCTGAAATCTCCATAACATAGGATGTAATGACAAGTCTGTAGTGTCCCCATCACACGCCCCCATTACCTTGTCTCCAACAAACCATGGCCCCTTCCCCAGGAACTGTGAGAAGTGCTGCATCATTGTAGGAATTCCCTCCAAGTATTCTGGCTTCAGTTTTTCCTGAGGCATATAGAACACAGCTGTCACCACTCTCAGATACAAGCTCCCTGCACAGCTGTGGCCTCCACAGGGCTGTATATGGCCCCAGCTGGCCACAGGCAAGCAGTGATCTTCCCCACAACTGGAGCTGGCTTCAGTTGGACATATCAGCATTTATTAGATTCCAAGTGGGTGGCTGGAGGCTTTCTGAGGTGATGGGAAGGCAGAAAGGAATGCAACACTGTCCCTGAATCTGTCCCCACTGACATCCCAACCACCCTCCTCTGGGTCCGCCCCAGGAGCACCTGAGTACCTGGCAAGCTCTGGACCCAAACACAAGCAGAATCAAGGATGCAAAGAACTAAAGGAGCTCAGGGAAAGAAGTCAAAAATTCCTCCTAGTGGAGCGGCAGAAGAATACAATGGATATTGAGTAGTTTCTGGAGAGAGGAGATTTTGAGAGGCTGAGTGGAAGGAGGCAGAGGAACAAAGGCCCTCTGACTGCCCCTGAGCCACCTGTTAGGAAAATGCACTCATCCCCGTGCCTGTCAAGGAGAAGCACTAGGAAAGAACAGGCCAGAATTCCACAGAGGAGAGTTCTCTTACATCCCCATCATGTACCTCTTTACCACATAGTATGTCTGCCTATTCCCTGAACAGGCAGATGGCATGAACCAGTGGGGTGAGATGGCCCGTGGTGGAGGTCAGGGGTCAAATATAAAGGTAATTCTAAATGCACAACTTTATTGTCTAAGAACTGAATTTCTAGCTTGGACTTCCTAAGACTGGTGGGGACTGATTTCGACTTTTTATTTGATACATTTTAATGATATGATGGTCACTGGTACAGTACAGGGAACCCCCAGAGGATCAATAGCAATCAGGAGTTCAAATTGTGAACAGGACCAGGGTAGATGGAAATACAAGAAGCCTGGCTCCTGGCCCAGATCAGGAGGAGGGGGCTCACAAAGTCAGGACTGTAGCAGACTCTGGCCAGCTGATTGGAGACGTCCATAGCCTGGTTCTCCAAAATGTCCACACGAATCTTCTCCTCTTCTGTCTCCCCACCTGACACCCACAAAACACAGACTCGCTGTCAGCATCTCACCCCAGACAAGCCCAGGAGGAGGCCACCGTCCCCCCACACCCTGCAGCCTCCCGCACTCACACAGGTTGTGCTTGCGGGCAATGTAGCGCAGGATGGCGTTGCTCTGGGTGATCCTGTGAGCCCCATCAATCAAGTAGGGCAGCTGGAGGGATGGGAAACCAGGGAAGCTCAGTTGGGCCAGCAGCCTCCCCAGCATCGCCTTCCCATAAGCAAGGGCAGACAGGAGACCGGGCACTCACTGTGCCTGCTCATGGCAGGCCGAGATACTGTCACATGGACGAATGAGCTGGGACACAGAACGTCATGCAAGGCTGTGCAGACAGCCAGGAATGAGAGGAACTGGGCAGAAGGCTCCTGACCCTAACACCTCTAAGCTGGGGAGAGGAGACGCAGTCAGAGACACGCTGCACTTTCCCCCAAAACCGCCCCTTCCCCTGCACCTACATTGGGAAAGTCCAGGCCCAGCTTGAACTTTTCCTTCAGCCACTGGCTTCTGTCATAGTCAGGAGCTGCGGTGGGAAGATGAAGTGAAAACAAACCTCCCCGGAGCCCAGCCCACCTTCCCCGCGGCCCTCCCAAGGGGCCAGTGGCAAGACCCCTGAGACAGGTGGATCTAGAATCTGACCACTCAGTCCCACGTCCCAGGGTTCAGGAAGAAAGAATCCGGGTGAGGGCTCTGGACCCCACACGACTAAGGCTTCCAGGCTGTAGGCAAGCCCTGAGGGACCCCCAACCCAGTTACCCAGACAGGGGGCCCGGCTTCCCGCCCCAGCATCCCACCCTAGCATCCAGCCCTGCAAAGTCAGAGGGCTCCCTCACCCGGGCTCAGGGAAGGGGCAGGCTGCAGCTCCAGCAGGGGAGGCCTGCAGGGGCAGCCACAGGTGGCCACCGTGGGTTGCTCGGCGCCAACTCAGGGTGAGTGGGCAGGGCCGGGACAAGAGGGCGCCCTTACCGTCCCCCATCGTGTATTTCTTTTCCTCGTAGCTTGAGTCTGTGTATTCCAGGAGCAGGCGGATGGCGTGGGCCAGCTGGGAGAGATGGCCCGCCGCTCGGGTCAGAGATGGAGTGTCCCTGACTTGGTGACCTTCTCTGCACCAGGGGAGCCCCCAGGCTACACTGCACGCACCCGTTGCCCTCTCCTTCTCCCCCTTGCCCCCCTCCCACGCCACCCGCCCCCCAGGAATGCACAGGCCCTCCTGTGAGGGATAGCCCTGAAGAGGAACCGTTCCTACAGGCTGTTTCCAGCCGCTCGACACTTCCCCAGCCACGAGCCCCGGTCCCACCGTCCAGCGGACCCTCACTGACCCCGCGGATGTCCCAGTACCCCAGTGTCATGGACATGGTGCTGGTTGCTGCGGATTCTGCACACAGGCCTCAGCTGGGCTGAACTGCGACCTACTCCGAGGGTTCCTGCTCGGGCAGGGGCAGGGCCTAGCGCCAGACCCGCCCCTCGGTCCCGCGGCTCCCGCCGATCTTCAAGGTAGTCACTTCCAACTGGCTCCAGAGACCTGCAGGCGCGGGACGCCCGTAGCACGTCGCTGGATCCTCCTGGCGGGAAGGAGTAAGATCCACCGCCACCTCAGAGGGTTCCGGGAGCGAGGTCAGGAAGCCCCGGGGTCGGCCTCGCCAGCTTCCGTAGCCCCGCCCCGCCGCGCCCCGCCCCTGCCTCTGCCCCGCCCCGCCCCGCCCCGCCCCTGCCTCCGCCCCGCCCCGCCCCGCCCCCGGGCCCCGTTCAGCCCTGTGCTCGGTATCCAGGGACTTGACTGTGCCCTTTAGAGTCCAGCCAGATCCTAAGAGTAAAGTTCTTCCCCCTTTACTTCTTCTGACGTCGCCCAGCCTTCCGCCTGCCGGCTGCCGAGTTCCCACGGGCTCTGGGAGACTGAGGCTGCCAGAGTCAGACCAAAGACAAGTCTCAGAGAATTTAATTCAGCCCCTCTTGGCCTACTAAGTCTTAGAAGTATGATGGAGCGCTCTCTCTGTTGAGTTGGGGAGGGTGGATGGAGGCTGTGTCAATGACGATGGCAGAGCTCAGGCTCTGTTGCAGATGCTCCCGACCCTTTTGCACTGGGCCAGTTCCCCAGCTCTGAGACTGGGTCCAGGCTCAGGAAGTGGCCTCTGTGCCAATGCAGGTTTGCCCACAGCAAGGCGATAGCACCATGCACACACACACACAAGTGCTTGGACTTCTGAATAGTTAATACTTCTCATTATACATTAAGACTTTAATGTATAATAATAATTACTTATTCATTATTGTTAACTTTTAATATGCATTAATTATGTGCCTTAACATACATTAATGTCTGTACTTTGGCCACCTATTAGAAGTCAGGTGGGAACTACAGGGGAGAGATTTTGAAAATATGGGAAACATCAGTGTTTTTGCACACCCAGAGGCAGTGGAGTGGGAGAGGGATTGGGTGCAGGAGAGAGAAGCAGTGCCTGCAGCCACAGGGACTCTGTGGAGCCAGGAAGACGGGGCCCAGGGCCCAGGTGACTTCTTTAGAAGGAGGAGAACAGCTCTGCAGAAGGCGGGAAGGACTGGACCAACAGGCTCTTCAAAGCAGGGGCCACCGTGGGCTCCAGGATCACACCGGCGGGAGGAGTGGCTCTGTAGACAGGGATCCGGAGCAGTGGGAATGAGGGACGCAGAAGTGGTGCCCTGGGGAAGAATGTACAGCTGTTGTATTGTCAGGTGGTTTTCTGCGTGTCTGTGAGATTTAACTGGTTCACTGTGTTGTTCACATTCTGTATTTCCTCACTTACCTTCTGTCTCAGCCTTTCCACAATTGAGAGAAGCGTTTGGAAGCCACCCATTGTTCATGTAGAACTCTCTATTTCTCCCTTCAATTCTGTCCAATTTTGCTGCACATATCTTGTTTTATTCCTACTATGGGAATTGCATCCTGTATGACAGAGAAATCAGTTCTGCTTCCTGGGCAGTCTACCAGATTATCTCTGCTTTCCTCATTTTAGAAGTGTCTGAATATCTTTTTAAAGAAAGCATGATTTCCTGGTGGGATGGTAGTTTTAAATATCTGGCAATCTCAAAAAGTCATTGGAATCACAGGTAAGTTACTGTTCAGTGGACAGAATGAGCCTGATGTCATGTAAGAAACAGCATTTTAGCGGAGCACTAATCTCACTGGTATTAAGTATCATCTACTGCAATGGGAATGAGTCACTTTTGTGTTCCTCAAGATGGACAGATTCCTTGAGTGGAATTAAATGGTTTCTGCAAAACAGGCTCAGATGTCTCTGAAGAAAGCAAACAAACATGGGAGCCAGAATAGCCCCAGTATTAGTCCTGATTGATTGGCCTTGTAATGGCCTCAAAAGAAGCAATTTGCTGGCATGAAGTCAGAGAGAAATTGTTGAAAGACTGAAGGTTGGGATTAATGATATGAGTGAAACATAATTACCATAAGGAGCCAGTTAAAGGGAGGTTACCTTGTAAAGTTTTTCAAAGGACAGCTATGAAATTTTGTCAGCAGGGTTGTTAGATTCAGAGTGGCAGCAATGATCTGGGGGAAAAAAAGTACAAGAAAATTTTGTTTTCTACTAAGTGGTAGATGGAGAACATAAGAGGTCAGAAGTAATAGGATGAGGGCCAGGTACAGTGGCTTGTGCCTATAATCCCAGCTACTCGGGAAGCTGGGGTGGGAAGATCACTAGATCCCAGGAGTCTGAGGGTGCAGTGAGCTATGTACAATCACGGTGATTGAGCTATGTACCTATTGAGCTATGTACAATCACCTAACCTATCCACCTCTGAAGTCATCGTCTTCTGGAGCATGCCTAAGAACCTCAGTTTAACATTTCCAATGGCATGGGTGTCCAGTAGTCAGGGGGAAATATTGTATCTCTTTTAAGCTAGGAAATAATTAACCTAAGGATACATATTTTGGAGTATTACTGCTGAGTCAATTACTAACAATATCTGATAAGGTCCGTTTCATCGAGTCTCAAAGGCCTGTCTTTTTTATCTCAGTTCTTATCCAGAACACTAAATCTCTTGTTGTGAATCAGAGGTGAGTCGTTTGGTACAATCCACTGCACTCTAGCCTGGGGAACAAAGTGAGATCCTGGCTCTTGAAAAAAAAAAAAAAAAGTAATAGGATGAAAATACGGAAGTTAACATTAATATTTTACATGGCTTCAAAGTAGAATAATAGCCAGGAAAGGGTGTTGAATGTTCATCTTTATCCAAAGTGCTGGGCAAAAGCTATCCACCTCTGAAGTCAGCATCTTCTGGAGCATGCCTAAGAATCTAACATTTCCAATGGCATGGGTGTCCACTGGTCAGGAGGAAGTATTGTATCTCTTTTAAGCTAGGAAATAATTAACCTAAGGATCCATGTTTTGGAATGTTACTGCTGAATCAATTACTAGCAATATCTGATAAGGTCCATTTCGTCGAGTCTCAAAGGCCAGTCTTTTTATATCAGGTTTTTCCCAGAACACTAAATCTCTTGTTGTGAAGCAGAGGTGAGTGGATTGGAAATGTAGATCAGTATCTGTTGATGATAAAGCTGAAGGTATTCTATGACTCCCTGGCAATTCTTAATCATATTTCATTGTAATTGTAATAGAGCCAAATCTAAGATTGGTGGTGAAATTTTCAAATACATCGATGGGCCGTTTTTCTTTTTCCTTTTTTTAGAGACAGGGTGTTTCGATGTTCCTAGGCTGGAGTGCAGTAGCTATTCACAGGTGCAGTCACAGTGCACTACAGCCTCAAACTCTTGGCGTCAAGCAATCTCCCACCTCAGCCTCCTGAGTAGCTAAGACTACAGACACAAGCCATCACACCCAGCTTGGCCTCGTATTAATTCATAAGGAGGTCAGCTGTGGGTCCCAGAAAGGGTTGATCTTATACACACTGAAGCTAGAGGTAAGATTTTTTTTTTTTCAATTTGAGAGCAGGTACTGTTTATTAACTGACCATCTTAGCAAAATAATCATGGAAGACAGTCTTCTAATAAGCCCATTGATCTGGTCCTCCCTGTTGCCAGAATCTCCACCTTCTACAAAATAGGTGGTCTTTTCTTCATTCTGCCTCGCGGAGAAGATAGTTTGAAGGGCCACAGGAAGTTACTTGCTGCTGCTTCTTTTTTTTCTTTAATTGAGATGGAGTCTCACTTTGTCACCCAGGCTGGAATGCGGTGGTGCAATCTTAGCTCACTGCAACATCTGTCTCCTGGGTTCAAACAATTCTCCTATCTCAGCCTCTAAGGTAGCTGGGATTACCAGCACACACCACCATGCCCGGCTAATTTTTACATTTTTAGTAGAGACGACGGGGTTTCACCATGTTAGCCAGGCTGGTCTCGAACTCCTGACCTCAGGTGATCCACCCACCTTGGCCTCCGAAAGTGCTGGGATTACAGGCGTGAGCCATTACACCTGGCCTATTTGCTTCTTTGAAGTATTTCCCAACAGTGTAGAGCTCATGAATCAGATCCTCCATGCAGGTGATGCCATATTTACCAAGAGATCGAGCAATCAAAGAGTTACCTGTCAAAGCAATTCACCTCTTATTAACTTTGCCATAAACAGGTTTGTAGAGTCGTTCATTTACTGACTTCAGATGTGGGTACCCCCATGCAATATATGGCTCTACAATCCTCGGCATGTTCACTGAAGACTTGTTGAGCTTCACAAAGCTTCCACTGAAGATTTGACAAAAGCGAAAAATTGCAACACCTTTCGGAGTTTTCAGCTCACACCATTGACACCTCTGATCCTGATGACAAACATCAATGTGGGTTCTGCACGTACACAGAAGTTGCCAGCTTTTCCTGCCATGCTCGCCATTCAGATTTCAGTTCTGTACATCTGCCTGTTCACTTTTTCACAGATAAGCTTCCTCCTTGCCCTTTGAAGCATCTTTGGGGCAAACTTACTTCTTAGGCGCTTGATCTTCAGCTCTGAGAAATTCCTTCTCATTTTCTGAAGGTTTTCTGGCACAGCAGGAACCTTCTTCTTCTCTTTGGCGCTCTCCATGGTTCCAGCCAGAAAAGAGAAGATCTTAGACCATAGGAGTTGAAGGGAGTTTTGTTCATCTTAGCTTTCAAATTTCATTAGTTCTCTCTGTTTTTCCTGAGGAATGTGGGTATTAAGAACAGTAAAGTTTTTGGGTAAAAGGCAAACTTTACAGAGTTCCTTAGAGAAATAAGTAGAAATTCCCAGATTGGAAAATAAAATGAAGCAGAAATTTTTGCCACAGTTAATAGTCATAACCCGGCAAGGAAAAGCTTTAATCCATCTTGAAGAAACAACAACAACAACAACAAAAAACCAACAGAAAATAATCAGAACATATTTATAGTCCATTGCAGGAGCCATTAGTATAAAGTAATTGGAGGTCTGAAGGGCCTTCGAGATCCTGGTTCTTGTTCATATCCCACATTTGCATTTATGAGGATTGCACTGTTGGCAGTAGGACAAGTTTTAAAAATATCTAAAATTACCCCCACCAATGTTGGTTTAGTATTTTTGACAAATTATCCCTGCTATTATGAGTAATATCACAAAGCAGTTTTCTGAAATTCCACTTTAAGTTATTTGGCATTATGTGTCAGCCATCCTGAGAGCATCAGATAATCTCTTTATGCCATGAACATCCAAACTTCTCCCACTTCCAAATTTTTTCACTTTTCTACTTTTTGGAATCAAGGGTTTGTCTCTGACAGTTACAAATGGCCTCTTTGAATCCTCCAAGACCCCTCTTTTCTGTGTGATTGCAGGAGCACTGATCTTGATGAATACTTCTTGGGTTAGCATAGCGATCAGTTAAAGTATTACCAGAAATTCTAGGTCTTTGTGCATTGAATGGTGGTCTCCTTTTATTACAGCTATTTCCTTAGGTAACAGCAAAGCAGCTGGCAGTTTTATTTTTAACCTGTCGTCCATTTTTTGGAGGGTTTTGTGGAGGTTAGAAAACTCATTTCCAAAGCATTTCAAAGTCACAGACTCCCCAAAAGTGTATCTGCCAGTAGTTTATATGCTTACTCTTTTTCATTTTACCAGCCAACATACCCAGATGAGGGCAATTTTTTTTTTTTTTTTTTTTTTTTTTGAGACGGAGTTTCGCTCTTGTTACCCAGGCTGGAGTGCAATGGCGCGATCTCGGCTCACCGCAACCTCCGCCTCCTGGGTTCAGGCAATTCTCCTGCCTCAGCCTCCTGAGGGCAATTATTTCAGTCATTGGAGCTGATTTAATTTCTGGAGCGGTCTCTACTTTAAGGGTAAATTTAGGTATGTGATAGCATTTTTAAATATGAACAAATAAAATCAGATCAGGGCAATCCAAGGGAATTTCTAAGAAGATGTTTTAAGAATATGTGAAAAACACTGAGAGTTAACAGAATAATTTGGTGAAAAAAAGAACCTCTAGTAATCTGGGTGTAAAACAACTGAGTCATTTTACATGGCAGGGCCAAATCCTAATTTTACTCCTATAGTACATCATTTTCTAATAGATTATAATACTCTATTAATATTCCTTTATTTGTATGCATTTGGGTATACACAGATATATAAGTATATGAATCAGCAACAAATTAAAGCCTTTTTTAAGTTGTAATAAAAACACTTAAAGTAAGATCTACTTGTTACCAGTGGAGGGTGTTCAGACTCTTGGCGTTTTGAACAAAAAATTGGACAGAATGCACAAACAAAGCAAGGAGAGAATGAAGCAACAAAAGCAGAGATTTATTGAAAATGAAAGTACACTCCACAGGGTGGGAGCAGGCAAGCATAGGGGTTCAAGAGCCTGGTTACAGAATCTTCTGGGGTCCAAATACCCGCTAGAAGTTTCCCATTGGCCACTAGGTGTTTGCCACATGCAAATGAATAGTGGACTACAATCAGTCTGAAGTGAAGCTACAAAGTTACACTCCTACGCAAATATCTGATTGGTTGCAACTGTCAATATTCCATCTGCAGAGCAGAAAAGCAGGGGGTTTGCAAAGGGAGTAGCCTCTGGTCCTTTTGTTACTTAAGTAGGGAAAGTTAGGATTTTCCTTTCGATTTAGTTTTAGGAAGTCAGCGTGAATCCGCCTTAGAATTCCTGCCCAGACCCTATTCTCCTGCCTCATACTTTCTTAACAAAATTTTGAGTACACGGGTACACAGTATTGTTTTTTGGTTTATTTATTTATTTATTTATTTATTTTTGAGACGGAGTTTCGCTCTTGTTACCCAGGCTGGAGTGCAATGGCGCCATCTCGGCTCACTGCAACCTCCGCCTCCTGGGTTCAGGCAATTCTCCTGCCTCAGCCTCCTGAGTAGCTGGGATTACAGGCACGCGCCACCATGCCCAGCTAATTTTTTTGTATTTTTAGTAGAGACGGAGTTTCACCATGTTGACCAGGATGGTCTCGATCTCTTGACCTCATGATCCACCCGTCTCGGCCTCCCAAAGTGCTGGGATTACAGGCTTGAGCCACCGCGCCCGGCCACAGTATTGTTAACTATGAGCACAGTGTGGTACAGCAGATCTTTAGAACATGTTTATCTTGTATAACTGAAACTTTATACCTCTTGAATAGCACCTCTTCATTTTGTTACCAAAACACCTGGGATTCAGTCTGGGTCCTGCTGTTTGCTGCACAGATAGCCAGTTGGTCAGTACTGTGCACAGAGTAAGTGCTTGATAAATGTACCCCATCTCTGGTCTATGCCAGGCTCTGCCCCTTCATAGCTGTTAGACCTCTGCAGTTGATATTTGGCTTTATGACTTCTCACCCAGGATCCCCCACAGCTCTGATATTTTCTTTCTTTCTTTCTTTCAAGACAGAGTCTTGCTCTGTTACCCAGGCTAGAGTGCTGTGACACGATCTTGGCTCACTGCAACAAGACTCAAGCAATCCTCCCATCTCAGCCTCACAAGTAGCTGGGAATACAGGCATATACCACTATGCCTGGCTACTTTTTGTATTTTTGGTTGAGATGAGGTTTTGCCACGTTGCACAGGCTGGCCTAGAGCTTCTAGCCTCAAGTGATCAACCTGCCTTGGCCTCCTAAAATGCTGGGATTACAGGCGTAAGCCACCATGCCCAGCCCAGCACTGATATTTTCTGAGATTTGATCTCATACTTGGCTGCAGGCTTTTTACCTAATTCCTTTGAAAACAATCCTGCCTCTGCTACATTTGGCCAGCCATTGGAAGGGGTATCCAGCTCTCTGCCAGACAACTCACTCTACTCAGACAGAGGGCTCAACTCTACCTCAAACTAGCAGAGGTGGAAAGGAGTCTTTCTTCCTACTGTTTGTCTGAAGCTGCCGGACACCCCTAAGTGCAAGAGGCAGTCCAGGTGCCCCTGCACCCTGGACCACGCTTCTCCCTGCCCTCTGCTCCTGGGTGTCTTGAGGGGCATAATTTCTTGATCACCAATTTAAGTATGATGGTGGTGTTTAGGAAAAAGTTATGTTCCCTTTAAAGAAGGGGCTTATTTGCTTTTGCTAATAATCCCAGCCAATACTTACTGTCTGTGACATGTCTGCTACATATACCTCCTCACCAAATTCTCAAAGCATCTTTTTTAATTACTTCTTTCTTCCCTCATTTGACGGATGAGAAAACTGAGGCTCAGGAAAATGAAGTAACTTGCCCAAGGACACACAGCTAGCACATCATCTAGTTGCATCTGACCAGTCCAATCAACCCCAAGGCCTGGGTCTACCCAGGACACCACATGCCTCCAAAGGGCCACAGGGTGAAATCACAGGACCCAGAGAGTCAACACCAATCCAAGATTTTCCAGACACCATGGGGGCTGATAGCAGACAAATTTGGCACTAAGCAAGAGGCCCTCAAGGGTCACGGTAGGCATTTCTTAGAATTCTTTGTGTCTTTTGTTTTCATTATCAGCAAGAAATGCTACTTCACAAGGCTGGAAGCTTTCAGTGTAATGTAGCTCCTATAAACCCATGTTAATGGGGGAGTAAACAAGGCAGCAAAGTGCCAGAGAGAAACCTGGACCCCAGTGTGTGGGAAAACTTCAGAGCAGTGCACTGGGGCACACAAACATCATTGGCTGTTAAAAAGCTCCCCGTGTTGAGTCTTTGGGGTTTACTGCTGCTGTTTCCCTAAATCCAAAGAAAGTGCACAGAGAATGAGGTCAAGTGGGGGAGGCAATGAGTTGGATCTGGCAGGAATGCAAAGCAGGTTGTAGAGACGGCCCCAGAACACGGAAGTTGGGCCAAGATGCATGCAGGGGTCTCACCTGGGGTTTGGGGCAAGCAGGAATCTCCAGGTAGCAATCTTGGTGGTGGTGAGGTTCTGGCAGGTCTGCCTGTGGTGCAGCATCAGGGGTTAGGGACGTCCCCGGAGCCGCGGGGGAGACCTGAGGTGTCAGTAGGAGATCTGGGATTCCAGGCTGCCTCCAGCCTGGCTGAGAACTGCCGCATCAAACCGAAAGCAAAGGTGATGCTTTCTCATGCAGACGAGGCTGGATGGGAAGGAAAGGCTGTGGTTTTGTGGCACACGCAAAGTGTGTCGGGTCAGGATCCCCAGCTCCCCGAACCCTCAGCCGAAAGACCAACCTCAACTCGCCAGCTGCTGCCCCTGGGCGGCTGGCGCTTTGCCTGCGTCTCTGGCGCTGGCCCAGCCCCGCAGGCAGAGACACGGGCCGTCGATGCAGTATTTGGAGGTGGCCGAACCCAAGCAGGAGGTGCAGCCTCTACCCAAGAGGGGGTGCAGGCCAGAGAAGAGTGGGAGAGAAGCCTGGAGGTCTCCTCTGGCCCACGGGCCCCATGCCTGCCCCTCAACAGCCTGGGCTGACCGGCGAACCCGGCAGAAGCCACGTTTACTAGACTCCACAGCTACTGGGAGGGTTACAAGTTTAAGTAACTGTAAGGCCTAAATCTCTGCCCAATTTCTGGGAAAGGCGCCTCCAGCAGCGCGCCCTGGTGGCCAACCGTGCAGCTCTCAGGTAGGGAGAGACCGGCGGGTTCCCTGCAAGGAGCGAGGCTGTGACCGCAGCAGAGGGGCAGCGCGTTAGGCTCCACCTCGCAGCTACAGCTCTTTGGGCCTTTCGATTCTTTGCGCCGGAACTTAAGCCACGTTCCCCAGGGGCCAGGAAAGAGATTTGGGGCATCCCTTGGTGCAACCCCACAAAGCAGCATTCAGAGACCATTGGCTACCCTTTATTCAATAGCTGAATGCTGCCACTTGAGCCTAGTATTTTATTCCTTACCACCTCTCCATGAAATAAGTAGTGTTATTAGCCTCTTTTTACTGGTAAGAGAACTGAGGCTTTTTTCTTTCTTTTTTTTTTTTTTTTTACATTGAAGTGAAATTCACATAATACAAAATGAACCATTTTAAAGCGAACAATTCCGTGGCAATTAACGCATTTACAATGTTGGGCAACCACTACCTCTATCTAGTTTCAAAACATTTTCATCACCCCAGAAGACACCCCATACCCAATAAGCTGTTGCTCCCCATCACCCACTTCCCCCGACCCTGGAAACCACCGATCTGTAGACGTCTCTACAGATGTTATTATTCTGTCTATTTCATATAAATACAGTCATACAACACGTGATCTTTGTGTCTGGCTTCTGTTAGCATAATGTTTTCCAGGTTCATCTACTGAATGGAAGCATCAGTACTTTATTCCTTTTATGGCTGAATGATATTCCATTATATGGACATAGCACATATTGTTTATCCATTTATTTGTTGATGCACATTTGGGCTATTTTCACCTTTCAGCTATTGTGAATATTACTGCTGTACACATGAGTGTGTATGTGTATTTATATATATATGCTGTACACGAGTGTGTGAATATATATATATACACATTTTTTATTATTTTTTTTTTTGAGACAGAGTCTCACTCTGTCACCCAGGCTGGAGAGCAATGGCACAATCTCGGCTCCCTGCAACACCTCCACTTCCCAGGATCAAGCAATTCTCCTGCCTCAGCCTCCTGAGTAGCTGGGATTACAAGCATGTAATCTGGCTCATTTTGTTTTCTTGTTTGTTTGTTTGTTTAGTTAAGACAGGGTTTCACCATGTTGGTCAGACTGGTCTTGAATTCCTGACCTCAGGTGATTCACCTGCCTCAGCATCCCAAAGTGCTGGGATTACAGGCATGAGCCACCACGCCCAGAGTATACATATATTTTTGAAGTGCCAATTTTCACTTCTTTGGGGAATATACCTAGGAGGGAGTTGTTGGGCCATGTGGTAATTCTATGTCTAACCTTTTGAGGAATCATCAAACTGTTTTTCCTAATGGCTGCACCACTGCCTGTTTCTACGAGCAGTTATGAGAGCTCCAATTTCCCCGCATCCTTGCAACACTGCTTTTCCATTCTTGTCCTGTTGTAGTCAGCCTAGTGGGTGTAAAGTTGCACTGAGACTTATGTGGATAGGGTGGGTGAGACTGAGAAACCCAAGGCCTATAGTTTGGTTAGAAACGCGCTTTCTGCATGTCTGTCCCTCTTCACTGGCCCTACCGCCTCCCCTTCAGCAGCCCATGCCAGCCCCAACCCTCACTCCATAAGAGGCAGCAAATCTTCTTTTCCATCCCCTGCTACACGGCAAGCTCCTGGTCATCCTCTTTAGGGCAAATCTCTTCCGTCAGAGGGCCATCATTTTGTCTCTCACCTTAATACCAAGAACCTAACCTTGGAACCCCAAGTGTCCTTCCTGGGCTCTGCTATGGCCCTGTGTCCGTGAACTTCCTTACCCAAGATCAGAAGGGTTCCCAGGGCTAAGCACCCACAGGGAGCTAAATATTGGACTAAGTGTCATGGGACAAGCTTCCGGTCCCAGCTTAGCCTCTCTCTCTCTCTGAGGGAGGCAAGGAGACTCCTCTGGTTTCCATCTCAGGGATGCAGTGGCCTGAAGGTGAAGGGCAGTGCCGTCTTCTTCCACCGTGGGCCTTTGGAGCACTGACCCCGCACCAGAGCATGGTGGGAAGATGCCCCCAACACAGTCCTCAAATGCCTTCCTTCCTCCCCCTCCTCCTTGCAGGCTCTCTCTATCATTACAGTCTGAGCAAAGCCTACCTCCTCCTTGGAGAGTTATCCACGTGCCCCAGACCCTAGAGCAGGCGTCCCCAAACTTTTTACACAGGGGGCCAGTTCACTGTCCCTCAGACCGTTGGAGGGCCGCCACATACTGTGCTCCTCTCACTGACCACCAGTGAAAGAGGTGCCCCTTCCTGAAGTGCGGTGGGGGCCGGATAAATGGCCTCAGGGGGCCACATGCAGCCCTCGGGCCGGCCTAGAGCTTCCTCCCTGCCCTGACCGCCCACAGCCCATGTAAGCCCCTGCCAGGGCTCTTAGCAAGGAGCTTTATCCCCTTGACGAGGACTGGGGTGTGACCAGCCTGTGAGGATGACAATTAGACCTTCCTCAAAACTCTGAGAGTTATTGAAAAAGCCACTCAGAGATGAAATGAACACCCGCAGAAAGGCCAGGTACAGTGGCTCATGCCTGTAATCTGAGCACTTTGGGAGACCAAGGTGTGTGGATTGCTTGAGGCCAGGAGTTCGAGACAAGCCTGGCAATATGTCAAGACCTCATCTCTATAAAACACACACACACACACACACACACAAATTAGCTGGATGTGGTGGTGTGCACCTGTAGTCCCAGCTACCTGGGAAGATTGCTTAAGCCAAACGGTGGAGGTTTTAGCGAGCCAAGATCGTGCCACCCAGGGCTATAGGGCAAGACCGTGCCTCAAAAAAGAAAAATAAAACACGTCTGCAGACATCATCTAGCAATCCAGAGGCATTCCACATGAAGAGCAGGAAGAGCCTGGAAACCCAATTAAGTTTTGCTGATGTGAAAGAAGATATGGCCTAACCACATGTGGCCCATGTATCTGAAGGAAAAATGTGGTCACGAGATAATGGGGTGGCGTAGGGGCCTGGTACAGGACCTCCAAAAAGCCAGTGTGGGGCTCGGCACCCCCTCCCCTCGTCTCAGCTCCTCACACCTGCTTCTGCTCTTCTGCTCCCGGCCCCATCAGCCAACTCCCATTTATCTCATTTCTTTCCTGAATAACTTCTTTTTTAACTCTCATGGCAGCACTGTGCAGTATGTACTAGCGTTATCCATATTTCACAGATGGTTATCCTAATCCACAGAGAAGTTAAAGCAGAAAGGGTGTCCACCTCAGCTAGCCACGGGACAGCTCTCCTAGTAAGGATCCTGGCATGAGCCTAAGCTATACCTCTCACTGGAAAGGTCATACATGAGCCAGCCTGCCTACCGGGCTGGTGGGCTGGGCTCCAAGTGTGCCCACTGCCTAGTTAGTGGGCATGGGTGCCTGGAGAGGGTGCCCCAGCCCTTCCATTCCCAGAACCCAGCCTCAGGCAAGAGGAGCTGTTCTCAGGTGGTACTGCCACCCTGTGGACCAGGTGGGTACTGCATAGGGACGACCGGCCACGGGGAAGCAGGAGCTGAAACCCAGCCTACACTCAGCTCACCCAAGAACTCGCGCTGCACAGCTGCAGCCACCTGGAGAGAGAGACACTCTTGTTTACCAAAAGATGCCCTCTGTTCTTTGAGCTTTCAGGGGTATATCTGCCCAGAAGGACTCACACAAAGGTGGCCGGAGGGTGTTTCAGCTCTGGGTTTGTGCGTGACCCCGGGGCTCAAGCAGCCCAGTAAGGTAACTGGTACACAGAGAGAGGCTGTGACAGAAGGAAAGGAGAGAGCCATGCACTGGGATTCTTGAGGCTGGGGGCTCTGGTCCCCAAGGCCAACTACTTTGGGGACACAGAGGCATGAATATGCACGTGCCCATGGCAACCCGAGGCGCCTAGGCAGCCCTGTGGGCACTGAGCCGTATTCCACTGCAGGACACAATTTGCATGGAGCTGGGGCTGCTGGAGCTTCAGTTCATTTACAGACTCATGTAGGATGCTGCCTGGAACGTTCACATCTGGTTAGGTGACATCCTCCAAGAGTAGGCACAGGAACTAGTGGCATCAGTGAGAATGCAGCTGCACGTGCACCCTCAGGCTGTGGGTGCTCCAGGGACCCCTGGCCAGGCTGACACAGATGTCAGGTGGGTTACATGCTGCACAAGAGCCTCTGGCTGATCAGGGACTGCAAGCCAGCTTGTTCTCTGCTGGTCAAGCTGTGCTCCCCAAAGTGAGGCTGTGTCTACCCAAGAAGGAGACATCTTTTGCTTCCTTCCTTCCTTCCTTTCTTCTTTTTTTTTTTTGAGATGGAGTTTCACTCTTGTTGCCCAAGCCAGGGTGCAATGGTGTGATCTCGGCTCACCGCAGCCTCCGTCTCCCAGGTTCAAGAGATTCTCCTTCCTCAGCCTCTCAAGTAGCTGGGGTTACAGGTGTGCGCCACCATGCCTGGCTAATTTTTTGTATTTTTAGTGGAAACAGAGTTTCACCATGTTAGCCACTGCTGACCTCGGATGATCTGGCCGCCTCAGCCAACCGAGGTTCTGGGATTACAGGTGTGAGCCACCACGCCTGACCAGGGATATCTTTTTCTAAACACACAAAGGCACTTTCTGGGCTAGGGGGGCTCTGCTCGGGTGCACTTGGGTACAGAGGAGAAGGAGGCCCAGGGCTGACCCAGACTCTTCGAAACCCTGGTTCCGGCGCGCTTCTGGTTGACTTTTTTGAAAATCTTGTGCTTGTTGTTTTGAGTCTCTATTGTAAGCTGATAAGTAGCTTATCAGTTCCTGTGTGCTGGATTAGAGGGAGTTCAGTTCACTCCTGTGGGCAGTCACATTTGCATAAGGGGACAGAGCGAGTACCTGCCCGGTAGCCTCCTGAACACCAGCTGCTGGTCCATCTCGCATCTGTCTACCCGGGCCCTTCAGTGAACATGGAGGAGCCTCTCCTGTTCTCCCCCATCCTC